GTAGGGTGCCCTGCACAAGTCAGTTGGAGGTACCCCCTCGAAATTCCGCACGTGCAAGGCTCACCCTCTCGCTCGCTCCGTTAGTCGCCCCAAAAGGCGTTATACTGGTGATATCTTTTATTTTGATTACGGAGCGAGCGAAGCGAGCGGAGTCTTACGTAGAATAACGGAAATTTCTGAGTATGAGCGGCCGGCGTGGTCACGATTCTGCGACGCTTATATCTCAGCAGCCACTTGACCGATTTACACGTCGTAATTTTTGTAGGGTAGCTTCATTCCTTCTACCAAGTATTGGACTATTCCCGATGCATGTGGGTGACCCCTTATGCATGTGCCACGTGCAAAACGAAGAGGCGTCACTTTTGTAATTGTTGCAATATCTCGGTAACTACTTGGCCGATTGCGCTGAAAGTTGGCATGCAGGTAGGCACCCACTAGGCAATGCACATCCATGTGCCAGAGTTGGGGTGCTGCTGCACGTGCGCACGTGCAGGGGTCGTTTCCAGATCTCGAGAACGGCTCGACCGATTGCGCTCAAATTTGGTACACAGATAGGGACCGGTTAGTAGGGTGCCGTGCACAAGTCAGTTTGGACCCATTTTGCACGTGCGCACGTGCAGGGTGCCGCTTCCAGATCTCGAGAACGGCTGGGCCGATTGTGCTCAAATTTGGCACATCGCTAGAGACCGGTTAGTAGGGTGCCGTGCACAAGTCAGCTGGAAGTACCCCCTCGAAATTTCGCACGTGCAAGGGCTCTCGCTCGCTCCGTTAGTCGCCCCAAAAGGCGTTATACTGGTTTCTTTAAAACACTCATTTCATTGAAAACATCCAAAATGTATTGTGCACGGATTTGTGTGCAGCACTTTAGAGTTAAAAACTCGCAATCACTTGTCGTACACTCATATGCCACCAGTGTTCATTTACCGCGGATTTGCTTTGTCTGCATCAAATTGTCGACAGAGAAAAATCGTGCTGAACTTCTGACATTTAGTTTGTGGTAAGACGGGCAACTATGAATCCAATGGGTCTGTAATGGTGAAAATATTTTGGTTGCTGTAGGAAAAAGAAGCATTTCTAATAAGAATATGTGCGATTCCGATACGCACAGACATGTTAGCAATATTCCTTCGGCACAGTTTATTCTCGAATAATGAATGTGAAAAACGGTTCTACATGGCTTCTGAACTAGGGCCTATATAGCACGAATCTCGCATACTGCCATTTCCGAAGCACTTGACACCAACGAGCGACTGTATCAATGTGGCTAATCTCGGGCATTTGTTGCGAGCTGTGCTGGTCAGTGAAAGAAGCTGGCCGTGTTGCCCTACCCATGTGACCTTCTTACCCCATGGGGTGGGGTAAGACGGGTTTTTGCAAGGTTTTGCAAAAATAGCTGCAGTTTATTTGTTGAATCAGGTCTAAATCTCATCTTCTGGCAAATGGAAGTAAAATGTCTAAAAAAGGTTTTCGCTCAGTTTCCCGTTTCTATGATGTTTCTAACCGGCCGAAAAATTGCTTCAAAGTTAACCCGCGCCCCGCTGGGCTATTCAGACATACGCGCCCTGCTGGGGGGAGGGGGGGCAGATTCTGCCCCCCCCTGTCTAACTTCCGAACCGATGGTCGTAGAAGGACGGGGAAAACGGCAATCGAAAGCTCTCAACAAGGCGGATCTAAAGAGCCCAATTTTTTTTTTGACTAAGTAGATCAGAGGTCAGGTCAAGGTCAGGTCAAGGGTACAAGATGCAAGTTTCTACAGTATCGGCCTTGCACCGTAGTTACCGAAGAATGGACTGAGTCTGATTGCCCAAAACGTGTTCTTAGACTACCAAGACAATATTCGTTGCATACAATGTCATTCAAAGGTCAAGGTCAAGGTCAGGTCAGGTCAGGTCAGGTCACCAAAAACAAAATATAGAAAAAGGCATGTGCGACACATGTTTTATGGGTCATTTTACTCATAGAATTCAATAGGCGCACTCAATAAGTGATATGGACCACCTATGGATGAACTTGGGGTCGAGGTCAGGTCAAGGTCAGGTCAAGTGAGGTCAAATTTTGAAGTTGGTTGTTAAGGCCTAAAAAGGTGTCTATCTGATGCAGTTTTTCACGGCGAATCGAATGGTGCTATTTTTGTTTCCGTACGAGGTCTAGAACTTCCAAGAAAATCATTTTTCAAAAATTTTGTGAGTCATGACGTCATAAAATTTTGAATAACTCCCACATTTTTGAACCGATTCTTCTCAAAATTGGTATGTATGTGCACATACACCACTTCTCTGATATATTCCGTTTTTTCGATACACTTAAAATTTTGGATTTTATAATTATTTTCCCAAAAAAGTCAGTTTTTTAGAAAAAAAAATCGGGGGAAAATCCAAAAATTTTAAAAAACCGAGATGGCCATTTGATAGACAAAGTAGAATCACGTATAACCTTTTTTGTTACGTCTTGATTCCTTTAAAAATGAAGATGTTAGCGGCGTTTGAAATTTTGCCGTTTTTGAGGCAAAAATGGCGAACATGACGTCACTAAAACGTCAATTTCTCAAAAAGTTTCCGACACATTTCGCTCAACTTTGCAGGGAACGTGCAAATTGATGTATAATAAGGTATTGAAAGTTTGACGTCGCTGGCGTAACGCGTTTAGAAGTTATTGGCGAAAAACGGGAGGGGGGGCAGATTCTGCCCCCCAGCGGGGCGCGGGTTAAGGTGCCCGTCGTACCCCACTTTCCCCTAGGTACATATATACTCGAAGATACCACGTATTTTTTTCTAAGCCGCCGCCCATGATCAGACGACCAGGAGTGTCCACCCACTGACCCACGCGACAACAGCACCTTACGTTAACACCTCCCAAGACAAAAATATGAAGAAAGTCGCGACACTCCCTGCTAAGAAAAAGGAAAGCAAACAAAAACAAAGCTAAATACAATACTTAGTAAGTTAGTAAAATGTCATAAGAAGAGGCAAAGAAGTCAAGACTAAATGTAGCTTGACTGGCCGCTACACCATTCCCAAAGAAGATAGTGAGGAGAGAGTGATCCAGGGGTTAGTGGTAATAAGCGCATGCAAAGCTTGCATTATAAAAGAGGGACAGAGCCTAGTCACACTCGGAGGAGTCAGATCCTCACCGAAAAGGGATACCGAGCTAAGCAAGCTTGTTGCTCGGTAAACCCAGGTCGGTGGGAAGTATCGTAGGGCTGATTTACGTATTGTTACGTATCCAGGAGAACTTAAGTGTGACTTGTAAGTACACAAAACAAGACGAGACGACCGGTATACAAATAGCAAGTAATGTAAATAGCAAGAAAGCTAGGTCATTGAGCGATGGCGATGATTCAAAGACATACAGTTAGTACTGTACGTACTGTATGATGTTTATAGGGAGAAAAAGCAAAGCTTAACAAAAAGAAAAGGGCAAAACAAAAATGTGGGATAAAAGTTCGAGAAGAAGTAAAAGACAAACAGGGAAAAGACATAAGACCACTAAATACCACCACCTCTTGTGGCGATCTAGGTACCCAGTTAGAACATACCTACCCAGTTACAGAGATGTACAATGTTCCAAAGTTAGGTATGCATAAGTGATATGCATTTATTATAGACAAATTATGTAATTGTGTACATATAACTATGTACTGTGCAAGTATGTACCTGTGAGAGAGCGGGTAAAAATACATTATCAGGTAAATGTACGTACATACCCACAATAAATAAAATGGGGGATCATTTCATTGGCAGGTATTCGTATGTTTACGAACGCAAGTGGAACACAAGAACAATAATGTCAGTGTTGGCAATGGTATCAGTATTGATCGATAAAAAACTGCTTTGAGAAATCCTTGATTTCTCTCTTTGTTAGTGGAACTGCTTCCATATCTGTGAACTTAGGACCAATTATTGAGTTCCACATTCTAGGTGCAGACCACCTAGTAGTGTAGCTGCGATAGTTTTTTTCTGAGAAGAACTCGTGGAAATGATGGGTTGAGCGAGTATCTCGAAGCGGTTCGAGTATCGTAAAAAGTCTGTCAGTAGATGAAGGCAAAGTTCCTTTCAACTTTCTATGCATTAGCAGAAGCATCTGCTGCTTACCAATGTCTCTCAACTTAAGTATTTTCAGTTTCTTAAAAATTGGTGCTGTGTGTGCGAGTCTATGTTCGCCATCAATCATTCTGACCACACGCTTTTGTAATTTCTCGAGCTTATCTACGTTTGTAATATAAGTGTTGCTGTAAAGCATACAGCAGTAGTTGATATACGGAAGGAAAAGTGCGTTATATAAAAGAAGCAGCTGTTTAGGTACCAATGTATACCTAGCTCTGCTTATGAGTCCAACGTTACGAGTCAGCGTTGTAGAAAGGTGTGAAATGTGTGATTTCCATTTCAGATTGTCATCTACGTACATGCCCAAGTACTTAACTGTTTTAACAAATTTAATATGTGCACCAGAGAGCAAAACAGACACATTGACAGCGCGTTTAGAATTATTGTAGAGCTGACAAAAAGTTTTGTCTGTATTTAAAGATAATTGGTTTGCTTGAAACCAAACAGCTATCTTGGGCATTGTGGCGTCGATGACTCTTTGCAAATGGGCTTCATCATTGCCTTCAATGAAAATGGCTGTGTCATCTGCATACAGATATGCAGTTATATCATCAGAAATGGAGGGAAAGTCATTGATGTAAATTAAAAACAGAAGTGGCCCAAGGATGGAGCCCTGGGGAACACCGATATCAACCGAAGCAAGGCTGGAGCGAACATGCTCTACCTCAACACACTGTGTGCGGCCGTATATTGGTATAAATTTATATGTTTATGTATTACAGACATGTACATTGTACTTCATACAACTGTAAGCATTGCAAGTTGCAACCCATCCCCTAATATCATGCACATGCAACGTTGTGTTTTGTTGACCAAATCTGATCGGCTCGTCCATTTGCCGTCTTCGCTGACCATTTGCATATACCGGCATTACATGTGTGATCTGTGGTATCTCACCTCTGACATTGAGGCGCCTGAGACCCTTCGGCAGCTGCCCCCTCAGTCGCGGGAGGTCGGCGGCGGTGACTGACAGCCGCTTCACAGTCTTCCGTGAGCTCCGCAGCTCCGTCAGCTCGCTCTCACCGACTCCGGCCGGAAGGATGACAGTGTTTGGGTCCACCCTGATGATGGCACCACGAAGTTGACTTGGGATAGTAGTTATTTGTGCTGGAAAGGTGATCGAGCCAATGTCAGGCATTGGTCTAGCTCAAACATAAGTGTACACTTACCTACAGGCTACAGGTATAGCAAACACAGAATGAAAACAGTTTGTGGCTACAATGCTGTGATAATTCCGTGTCTCAATGAATATGTTCTTTATCAAAACGATGTGGATTTCATAAATTACGGTGACTTTCCGTAACAGAATAGTCAACGAATAAAATGACAATGGGTCTTTGACATATAGGTAAAACAAAAATCACAATTAAATTAGTACATTATAATTCGAACTAGGCATATTCTCATAATGTCAATTAATCAATCTGACAGCTTTTGTAACCTTTTCACATAGGTATTTTGTTCAGCTCTTAGGTGTAGGTACCTGTTTCAACTTTGTATCGTTATAAATTTCGTAGCGTAAATATTACGACCAATACAGGCCCAAATCATTGACCAGCACCATTCACCACACGACTTGTCATCCTACGGCTTACCATGGCTTATGGCTTCCGTCTTACCTTAGGATGAGGCAGCATTACCTACAGTACATGTAATATGTGTTGTATCCATAACAGTGTTCTAAAATTGAATTTTGGTTGGGTGTGCTGATGAAGAAAAAAATCCTAGGATGAGAAAAAAGAAAGTAAATAACTGAAGTATTTTTTGCAAAAAGGTGTAATGCTAATTTTTATCCCAACTGATAAACCAGGATTTCATGTCGGGATCTTGACAGGGTGTGAAACAAAAGGATGTGGATGCATCAACTGTCAAGTGACATGTAAACTGGCTGTTCGAATGCATGGAACCTTTTTCAGAGATGAAGTAAAGTCAGTCATTCATATTTTAGGGATGAAAATATTTTCCCCATCAGGTGTGATTTGCCACCAAAAAGTCTAAAAAATGGAACATTGATCCATGATCCCGTTATTCTTGGTTTGATTTAGGCTTCAGAGTGTCGAGGATAAACTGCTTCTCCACGTTATTTATGAACATTTGCTAGAAAAAAATAGGCAGTTCCTTAGAGCAAAAATCACAAATAAGGAGCAGTATTGCCGGCCTGTTTCTCCGTTCTTCGTGTCCCCGTGTCGCCCCTGCCCCGTTCAGGAGCGCCCGGCAGCGCCATCTCCACCTGACCAGTCCGACAGCGTTTGGGGTCGCCGCGCACCGCCGACAATCAGCTGACGCGGCCGGCAGCGTGTCTCAAGGTCAATGGAGGTCAGCCGGGCCGCGGCCCGCCGGGTTGGCCGTGACGTCACAGCCAGCGAGCGCCGAGCGCCGAAACACCCACTGTAGTTAATCACCTCCTAACCATGAATGTATAAATAACTTCCACCGCTGCTCACCATCTGTGTCTAGTAGCGTAATCCGAGACCCCAGCTCCGTGGCCAAGTGGCTGATGGTGTCGGCAGCCACCCCCTGGAGAGATACCGACAGACCACTCCCGTACCGTCCCGGCCACCTCGGCTTCGTCACCTCCGGCCCTGTCGGACAGAGCTGTGTCAGCTGACAGCAGTCGGACGGAGCCGCTGCCGGGTCGGGAGGCGGCTGACACTGTAGTGTCAAACCCTGACACAGACGACACTGACAAAGCCCGGGTCGATCGGCAGTGTTGGACAGTAATTGAACATTGTGCACAATGCATGCACTACGCTTATACATGCGTAAGTTAATTAATACAGTTCAGTACATACAGGTCGTACAGGTTCAGTACATACAGGTCATATTCGTTTGCAAGAGTATAAAGTAGGTATGTACAATACAGTGGCTAATATTTGTGTAGCAGGTAGGTAGCATGGCACACATATGTCTGCTGAACTTTTATCACTGAAACTGTTACTTTATGTGAGCTATGTAAGTACCACCATTCAGAAGTAATAGTACGCGTTTCCTCAACTACTTCTCACCGGCAACGTATAGCGTCCTCAGTGACGTCGGCAGCAGCCGCAGCCACCGCCCCGTTCCGAAGGACGGGACCCTGACGGTCAGCTCCTCCAAGCGGGGAAGACTCTGCAGGAGCGCCGTCAGCTGATCCTCGCCAAGGGCTGACGGAGCGTCGAACGTCGTCACGGTCCTTAGCGCCTCTCTCAGCACTGTGGCATCACTGTGTGCCGATGGCTGGGGCTCCGTCTGTACCGTGACGTCACTGTCTGCCAATGGCCGGGGCTCCATCTGCACCGTGAGGTCATGAAACGCTTTTGTAATTTTACTGAAAAGACAAGAAAAAGTACATACATCAAAATGCAAAAGAAGTTTACAACTTTAGTTGGCTCCTTTGATGATCCGATATGCATTTACATATTGTCGTCAGCAATAGTAGGTATGTTATCAAATCTATTCGGTTGTACATATAAAATCGTTCAGAGTTGATTTCATACGAATCTGAAGGATTTGATACGACCGACTAGATTTTGTGACACGAATTCTGATGAAGACATGTAAATACCAGCGGGATATGATGCCCCGAACTGGCCAACTGTATACACTGGCTGTCGAAAACTGGAACAAAACGATCGAGACTAAACGGCTAACTTGCAGAAGATGGTACGAATTTAAGGCATGCGCCAGCCCGCGCCCGCTGTGCGCTGGTCTAGCCACCTGGTGGTAACATGTGTCACTAGTGTTAGGGTGACCTGCCGAGAGCGTGAGCGCCTCGAGTGACCGCCGGCTGAGCCGGCATTGTGTGTGTTGGCGCCGTGCTGTGCGCATCCGTCTGCTCGTCCGGCCGCAATAGAGTGTCTCGCTGAAGCTCGGGTGTCTACTACTGGCGTGGTGGCAGCGCCTTTGCCCACCTCTCCTAGTGCCACGCAAGACATTGCTTCTCCTCTGCAAGGATCAGCGAGCTTTGCTCAATCTGCATCGCCAGCGCTCTACGCACCGGACTTGGAGCCAAGATGGCGGGCGTTCGTGCCCCGAAGCAGTGGTCACTGACAAAGGACGAGCCTATTACGTCATTCGAGAGTTGGCGCCAAAACCTGCTCTATACCCTGTCGCTCGATAATATTTTCGCAAAGTTTCTCGAGCAGGGAGTCGTGTGGCAAAAGAAGACGGCTGACTGTCCGACACGTGGCTTCTCCGACGACAGCTCGAACGTCCCCGCCTCCAGCCGTCTCACCGCCACTCAGAAGACAGTCCAGCTGTTGTTGTTGTTGTTGTTGTTGTTGTTGTTGTTGTTTGTTCCCTCCAGGTCGACCTCAGTCGACTGTATCCTGACGGCTCTGCAGGGCCCTGCGCACTGCGGGCAGTGTCGCGACGGGTTCCGGCCGATTCGGTGGAGGTACTGGGCGGAGCCTGACCAGTGCCCCGCTCGCAACTGGTGCACATCCACCGCCTCTGCTCGACCCAGGTGTCTGACTGGTCCCGGCAGCTTCGCTCCCATGAGGCTGCGGTACCATCCGCGCGGCCAGTCGCTGACCCACTGGTCCTGCGCCGTCCTTGCCACCGCGCGGTACACCGTCATGGCGTCGACGGGGACTTCCTCTTGGTCCAGTGCTGAGGCTTGCTTCGCCAGCTCGTCCGCTCTCTCGTTCCCGGGCAGGCCGCAGTGGGAAGGTACCCGGTAGGTACACCTGCCGCGGGCCGACAGCTGTTGAAGCGCCGCCCAGATTTCTCCTCCTATGAGCGTTGTTTGGGTAGAGGGGCCACCCCGGAGTGCCGCCAGAGCTGACTGGGAGTCCGTGCATATCACGATCGGCTCAGGAGGGAGGGTTTGTCGGTCCAGCAGGAACTTCAGCGCTTCTCTGAGGGCTACCATTTCAGCACGGTAGCTGGAGCAGACGTTCCCCGCCGGCACCGTGAGTAGGTGCTGCTGGCCGTCCGGGTCCTCGATGAAAACGCCAGCGCCGCCGTTTGTGATGCCTCCCTCCACCGAGCCGTCGGACCAAACCCAAGTCGCGCACTGTGGCAGACTACCTAGGTGACAGGTCGTCTAGGTCGTTAGCCTCCTGGAGGAGCCGGCCTTCAGACGCCTGGCGTCACGGTGGGAGGTGGGAGCCGTCAGGCCCCAGGGCGTATTATAAGGGATTTTCACTGGGTCGGCAATCACAATTAGGGGCGGCATTTTGCACTCATAGGGGCGGCACTTGGCATCTGAGGGGGGCGGCATACCTACTGATATTTAATGACCAAAAAAGACATGTTCGACGGTTCTTTTATAAATATTTCTAAGTAATGATTTCAGATTCAACCTAAGCTCAGCAGTATTACGTTTATTTTTCCGGGATATAGTATTTCTCTCATCATAATGCGATAAATGAACTATAATTTGACTACAAAAAAAAAAAAAAAAATTTTAACTGAGGTCAAGTTCATGACCTCACCAGAAACAAAACATGTTGCATACCAGTCGATCCGTATCGTCAGCTTAAAATATTCACGGTGTTTTATGGCTCTATCTAGAACAGTGGTCAGCAGGTCGCACGAGTGGTGCCCACTTTATGGGCGCTGGACGGGGCCATTACCCCCACTTGCCATACCCAATTGCTTACACGGCAAGGGTCGCTGATATTCGGCCATATCCTTTGACGCCTCTATTTTTCTGCATAGGTATGAATAAAATGCAACACAATTAACTCTCTTTTTTATGGAGAGGGAGAGCGGGTGAAGTAATGATGAACTCGTACATTTTTTATTTGTTAGTTACTCGCGTAATGAACAGCGTATTGCAACGATACGTTCATCCCTCCCCCCCCCAAGTTAATGAATGTTATACCTAACTACTCAAACATTTTCGTGACCCCAGTGACATTGTCATTGAGTTTTTGAAATTTGAATGACTTTCACTCGGTAACTTTCTCTCCGGCTCGGCCGGCGGACAAAACGCAAGCGAAGACAATGCGGGGAGTCCGGTGCGCTACCAACTGAGCTACGGAACAGGCAAATGCTCACCATAGATATACCGACTGAACGATCCCTTTATAACTTCAGCGATTGATAAGACAAACAGTGTGTAACTGTATATATAAAATGGAAGTCTCGAAATTGCGATGTCTTTGACCTGACCAAAGGTATAAGGACAATTTTGCGACCCTTTCATTAGGTATAATGAAATGGGAGGAAATAAGGGCATGTGCCTCTTTTTATAGGTAGACAAATGTCAAAGTTAACGAATTTCAACATAACATAAGAAAACAATTAAAAATGACACACTTAATCGGAAAATTGCCACCCACGACCCCTCGTTATGTCCTTGAGGTAATGTCAGGTCATGGAAGGCCTCCAGCAGTTTTTTCAATAACTTCTGATAGAGACATGCGATATGCCTGAGCGATGAAAACACCTTAGATGATTTCAGTTTGGCGATACAAATCGACTGATATGCAACATGACCTTTACCAGTCAGGTAATGCCCTGGACCTGAGCGCTAATTTCCCAAATGACATTTGAATGTCAAATAATAGTTCATTCGACGCATCTCGACGAGAGGAGCACAGTACTAAAAAAAAAAACAATGTCATAACTTTCATGAGTCAATAATTATTACAGTAGAAAGGTTCCTCATTAAAACAGCTCAGTAGAGGGGCGGAGGGGGTCCACTGTCCCCTCGAACCCTCCCCGGCCCGGCACGGGTTAAACAAGTTGTGCTCTGGAGGTTAAAGGGACCCTCCCACCTTAACATTAGATTTGAGTTGAGATAGCCAAAATGGGGTCCCTGGCTCACAATTACCGGTTTCGGCACTCACAACATCGAGAAATGCCTTAAATCGGAAATATTGAATTTCAAAATTGCAGCATTTTGATTCAGAGGGGCTAATGCTTAGGAATACCCCTCTGAATGTGTGACGTCAGCGCAGATATCTAACGATTTTTAAATGTTTGACTAAAACGTTTTGTAGCACGCGGTGGCATATGCTATTTGCGCGCAACATCTGCCGCAAACGCCGCACTTCTAAAATAAAGTCGCTAGAAGCAGCGGAGATCCCAAAAAAGTAAACAAAAGTAAAAGTCTAATATATTGAAAACCGGTGAATATTTTTCGGTGAAATTTAGTAGATATTCGTTTTCACTCTTTCTGAACCGAGCGACATCACTTTCATGCCAATTCATAAACTTTTTTGAAGGTGGGAGGGTCCCTTTAAGCCGTTGATGTTAGGTCAAGTCTGATGACTTTATAGGAAGTAGGAACGTTGAAGAGCTATCGAATGCGCTTTTTCGCGGTGCTGTAGTTCTATTCTTCCCCGAGTTATGCGCCAGTTTGTCAATAAATGTTGAAACAGACAACATTTCACCCACATTTCACCTTTGATGACCCCTGGTTACCTGATATTTGACATTTGACTTGACCTAACCAAAGTACGGTTAACCAACTAACCCAAGTAGTTTTTGACACTCTTTCGAATGCCGCTTACCGCGTGTCGCTAAGTGGCCCAGTAGCCAAGTTATAGGGGTCGGGAGGGGGGTTCAAACAGCCTCAGCCCGGCGTCGGTTAACCCTCGCCCGCACATACCATTTTCCCATCCTAGAACGCACATGGGGGGGGGGGGGTGGTTGCCACCCCCTCGCCATTTCGTTCCTGTTGGAGCTAGAGTTTAGCGGTAAGACCAAAAAGATTCTTTGGGAAGAGACGAATCCAATGATACCCAGTTTTACCTTCTCAGGTCAGTCATTGACCTTCCAGGTCAGGTCAAACTAAAAAATGTTGCTGTTTTGGGTCACCGCTGGATATCAAGTGCGCTGCTTATCATATACCGATGACGATGCTGTTTTCTGGTGCCAAGCCAGCTAGAACCTCTTTGTCACACTACTCGACCAGATTTTTGCTGCTGAGGTCATTTCAGGTCAAGTTAGGTCAAGGTCAATTATATGTGTTTGTATGTCTGTGTGTGTCTGTGTGTATACTGATGTGTGCACCGATTGTTTTTGTGTCCATATTACATGAAATCATGATCTGAGAAGCTTTTACCAAAAATGCTGTCAAAAAAAAAATCACAAAAAGTAAATTCAGCTTGCCTAAAACGCAATTATCTTAGATGACCTAGGTTGACCTTGACCCTGACCTTGACACATGTACCTCGTCGAACAACATGTTCCATGATAGGTGGGAGGTAAGACTGGCAAAAAAGACCGAAATCAAGGTGTCAAAAGCTCACAAGGCCCATGGCAAACGCAAGATGTTGAGAATTGGCCATTTGGGTTATGACATGACCTGAAAAACAAGGTCATATCTCCGAAACCAAAAATCACAGAAACTTGAAATTTTCAGTGGACATCAAGAAAGGATAGAGGAGCAGCTATACGAAAAATCGGCCTTCTAGCTCTAAAAATGTTGAGTGCAGAGCAGAAAGACTACCTGGGGGGGACTGCAACCACCCCCCCATGTGCGGGCGAGGGTTAAGGGAAGGCACTATCATTTTGGGGGCGCAGCAGATATGGTAAGGGACGACAACATCATTTCGAGACGCGTCACCAATTTTTTTTTAGGGCACTTTAACCACTTTGAGGGGCACCACCGACACTGTGAGGAGCGCAATTATCTCGTTGAGCGTTGAGGGGTGGCACCATTACATTGAAGGGCGCCATGTGAGCAGTGATGTGGGGCAAAATGACAATGAGGAG